TTTTTTCAGGAAAGACCTTGAATATTTCGGCAAGACAATGCTAAACCGCATGCTGAATCTATTACAACAGCATGGCTTCATGCCCTGCAGTCCAGACTTTAAAACAGCTGAAAACATTTCATAAGCATAATCAAATGAATAAGATAAAACAAGGAAGCTCAGGACTGTTGAGCAGCTAGAATCCTCTATTAGACAAAAATGAGACAACATTCCCAAAAGTTCAGCAGCTGTTTTCCTGAGATCCCAGATGTTTACAGACTGCTGTTAAAAGGAGTTGAGAGGTCTACACAGTGGTTCCGGTGCTTGTGATTAAAATATAGGGTGATAACATGTGCAAATCATTGTATTCTGTTTTTTTTTTTACACTTTACACAGCATCCTAGCATTTTCAGAACAGGGTTTGTACATATGTCCTGTCATCCACCACACAGGCACTAAATGAGAGCGCATCGCAGCTATTTTGCAGCGGTGAGGAGGCCAAAGTAGAAGAGGGTATTGCCATCATGGATGAAGCCGTCATCCCCTGCCTTCACCTGATGAACCGGGACTCGACTTTACCCCAGGAAGACCGAGATGCAATGGAGGCCATCCGCAGCCACTGGTGCTGCTGCCTGGGCCGAGACATGGATCGTAAGTTTAGATTGTACATCAGTCTGTACCGTCCAGCTCTATTATTCTTATAGCTGTATACATGATGTCTCATATGATGAGCTAGAAGTTTTAATTACAGCAGCTCAAAAAGAAATAAATATATAAGGTGGCTTGCTGCCATGGTTTTGTGCATTTTCTGCAATACCGACTTTTAGGATGCTTTTAGGTTGCTGTAGGGTTTGCATCAAAAATGTCAAAATACACTCAATTATTTTTTAACTTTCAATAAACACAAATCATTAATTTTCAGTTAAATGCAACTGACATATATGAAAGAAAGGGTTTATTTTTTCAAATAATTCATCACTGAGGAAAATGTGCTTGATATAAACTGGATGTATACCAGTAAAGTAAATTTCATTTGACCAGATTCCATTAAATTTTACATTATGACTTATGTAACAAAATTATATGGAAAATTCACATGTAATCAAATTACTTTAAGTCAGCATGTTGGTGCATCTTGAATAAATATTTTATGTGTATACAGTAGATGAGGATCCCTTATTCTGAGAGTTTGAAATACATTTAAATTAAAAGGAATGTGGGACAGAGGCATAAAGGCTTATATTGAGTCAATACAGTATAAAGTTTGCATACTCAATAGTGTAGGTGCACCCTTAGACAACATTTTGCTGTAATTACACACATACATTTAATTCTATACCAGTAATGCTGCTAGCTAATTAAAATTTAAACCTTAAATTGAAACAAAACTGCAATAAAGAAAATCAACAATAAACTAAGTCGCTCACTTCTGCTGCTCTTCCTTTGTGTTCAGAGTCATTGCAGGTGAAGCTCGGCGAGTTGCTTCCCAGAGTTCTGGACGGTTCAGCTGACACAGTAGTGCTTAAAGACCCTCCCAAAGTCCACGTCACCCAGGCCTACGACCTGTGCAGTCGCCTGGCTGCTGTTATGGAATCCATCCACAACACATCAGTGGTCATTGTGAAGTGAAATCCCAACAACTCTTTTTAAACTGTGTATCTTAACTGAAAGTGTCCCGGCTGATGGTTTCTTCTCCACTGACAGACTGTAGGGCGGAGACATCATGTAGTTTTAGCACAGATTGTTTATTTTAGTATATCTGCTGTTTTGCATTGCACACTTGCCTTGTTCACATAGCAAACCCTGTGGGTAAATGATGGACCATGCAGGGCTGTCACCACACGAATACATAATTATTACAAGAACACATATCGTGGCATTTTACCCCAAAAGCCTCAAAAAGAAGTCAATGTTCTTCTCAAGAATATTAAGGTATGCACTTTGACTGCTCACCATACGCAAACAGCTATAATGTGTAAAAGAGGTACAAACTGTACTTAAAATTTTAAGGACTACATCACAAGGATATGCAAAAAGAAGCCCAAAAGGTTGCAGTATTGCTATGTTTTGCCTGGTACAAGATGGAGAACCAGCAACTCTAAAGCGGGGATTATCTTTTCAGGTAACACCTAAAAGTTTGAAACTTGTCTGAAACTGTCTTTATGTTACCTGCTACAAAGAGACCGATAAAGATTTAAGTAGCTCTGACCATCTCAATTTACAAAACCAGCTTGCTGGAGAACAGTGAGGCATTGAAATTCTGATTGGTGCAAATGTTCATATATGGAAATGTTTAGCTGGGCTACCCCGTTAACTTGAAAAAGTGTTAACAGTTGTCCTGTCGCTCAGCTCTGCAGTAAGTGACTGGATTGATATTTGGATTGTGAATATACAAGACTAAAAAAAACCCACAAAATTTATACTGCACAGAAAATAATAGTGTTTAATAGATTTTTAAAAAATATATGTTTTATATTACTTTATTATCTTTGAAGGTCTATCTGTAAACGCTGTAAGCCTTTTGAAAGGAGACTTGATATTGGCAATCCTGTTTTGTGTCGCAGATGCAACACGTTATCGTGAATGAATGAGGATTTCTAGATGAGCTACTGTAACAGCCATTTTTGCCCACTGATTTCAGTCTTTCACTTGTGCTCTGTGATGATACAAATAAATGTTTTAAATACTCTCTGCGTGCTTATTATTGAGACTATTATTGTGACTTGTGTGGGCAGGCTTTGAAGCTGTTCCAACTGTTGTTCCTTCCCAAAACCAAAGCAGCATCACAAACACCCAAACAGAATTAATCCGCCTAAGGAGTTTGGCTGTTCCCCAGTAAGTATTAAAGAAAAATAAATCAATGAGCAGCAATGTTTGGGGATTTTTTTTTGCATTATAGTAAACATCTTATTTTGGATAGATAGCACATATGCCATGTGTTTTAATCCACAGAAGATAATTGATAATACCCATTTCCGGGCTGGCTGCTTCTTCCAAGGAGTCATACTTTATTGTATTTTTTTTTTTCAAGTTGACTTGTGCACTAGTTGTCTTTATGCATATAAGACAAGGCTCTGTCATGGTTTGGTATTTCAGCCAGTGGTGTTGGAGATTGATGGAATTATGAACACAGAAAAGGACCATCAAATTTTGATCTGCCATGCAAAATTATCTAGAAAGTATCTGACTAGCAACAGCTTCAACATGGCAGTAATCCCAAACACACTGCGCAGATGCAGTAAATGCTTACCTGGTTAAAAAAGACACAATTGAACACTATCAGCCATGGATTGGCCTCCTCAGCTTCCAGAAGCAGTGTGGGATCATCTTGACAGAGAGCAGAACAAATGCAGGCAGCATCCAAAGAAGAGCTTTGAATCTCCTTCAAGACCCCTGGAGAACAATTCCTGGAGTTACTTAAAGAAAGTACAGGACAGCTTACCTAAGACACCCAGTTGCTGAAGAGTAAAGGTGGTCACACCAAATATTGATTTTCAAGCTTGTTAGAATTGTATAAACTATGTTTGTCCTCAAATATTGTATTTTCACTGATGTTTGCTTGCTTTTTTAACTACACGTATTTTCCTAGAAAAATATAATGAAATAAGAAGGGCTCCAGACTTTTGCACAGTACTGTAAATCTACAATAAGAACCAGTTATGTTACAGAAGTCAGACACACTTACCTCTCATTGGCCTATTAACAGATTTCTTTACATTAGGATAATACCAGATTTAGTTGGATTTTTTTCTTCTTCTTTTACTCTCAATGAGTTAATTTCATCTGCTGATTAGACCACGTGTAAATCTATTGCTATTTATGATCTCTCTGCAGTTATACTGAGATTAAGACAATAATACTTGAGAGTCAGAGTTGGCACGAGGTGGATTAAGATCTGATTTTCGCTAGTCAGCATTGTTGAAGGATGTCAAGGGGGGCTGTTGATATGTCTACAGCTGTTTGAAGTTTTCAGGACATGTAGTGTTATTGTTCCATCTGAAGTTCATCATTTGAGGAATGCAGCAACATTTTTAAAGGAGCATAGAAGTCCAGTGTTTCCCGGATTATATCTGGGACCACTTCAGCACACACACTGCTCTTTACAAACAGCAGTGACTGTTCTGTTTGTAAAGAGTTTCGCAATCCTCACAGCAGGTGCAAAGGCATGACCAGCTACTTTCAGCAACTACATAGGTATTCAACAACAAAAGCATGTATGCAAATTAAATAGACAATTTGTCAAGAGTTACTCTTAAAATATAATTTCAGAAACAACCAAAAAAAGATCTCTACAGGTAAGTAGTTTTGTGCATAAGGCAAGATTTCTCATAATATACAATACAATATTTCAGCCACAGGAAACTGACATGAGTGGCAAGCGTGAGCCTGGCTCCTGGATGAAAAATCTTTAAATAGATGCATCTAAAAAAAAAAAGTTTTGACAGCAGTAAATGCACTTCCACATACTGGCATTTTGCTAGTGCCAGTGGTGTGAGGGATATAACCACTCTGTCAGCTTTACAGAGGATATTACCTCCAAAATAGCCCTGGATGATCTTACCCACCAGTTACAGTTAGTTGCACTTTTGAGTTTGATCTAAAATTAACATTACAGGTCTTATTACATACTTTAAGAGGTATAATAACATTATTTAATTTATGTATCTTATTAACCCAGTGAGAGGCCTACTTTAGAGATTGTGACATAAAGCATTGCTGGGTCTAGAAACAATCACAACATGGTGCAAGTCATTTTTCTAAACCCAGTCTAGACAACTATTTATGCTTATAATGCAGTGTTATTGGGAACAGGGTTCACTGTTAAACTTTCTTTAATTGTTTTTAAGTGTTTTATGTGGAATTATTTTATGCATTAACAATGAAAGGGGCTTTTTGAACAGTCTTCCTTGTATTGTAGGAGACACCGGGAGGCTTCAACCTGCTTTTATTTTGAAAGTTACACGCCCAAGCGGAAACCTTTTATTTTAAGGACTTTAGTTTTCCTCAGCTTCCGTTCTGCACTCTGCTGGGACCGCACCATCCGAACCAGGAAACCAGGCGGCAGGTGAACTTACTTGGAATTGAAGCGCAACTGTCACGCAGGTTGTCGGGGTATGGAGGAGAGCAGTGCAGTTGGAGGACCTGGTTCAGATGCAGGAGTGAAACGGGGGTACTTTTATTGATTAACTACAAGCCAAGAGCGGAAGTTGTTTGACTAAAACACCCGGAGAGGACCGGAGAGCGTTCATTTGTCGGGTGGCAACGTGGAGAGAGGACTGTCTCGGAGTTTGCACCCGTAATTAAAAGGCACTTTGGCGGATAGGTAAGACGGAAAGTTAAGGAACAGGCGAACTTGCTGAGAATGGCTAGCTAAATAAGCTAGCTGGTAGAGACCTGCTTTTTCTGAATTTTGTTATGGTGCTCATATCAGGTGAAGATGGACTCAGGCTAAAATGCGCACCAGATTTTTTGCATAAGTATTCGCATTATGTCTTCCGGCTTTTACTGTTTAACGCTGACTGAAATAACAGCGGTATTTTAGCTTTCTGTTAGCGAAACTCTGTAAACGGATCCTGCCAACTTACCAGAGTTCTAAATATACATAGAGACGTAAAGGTGCACCCATCTGCTGAAACGTGTTACCCCTGCAAAATCATGGGGCCACCGTTTTGCACTTGTCTGTGTGTGTGTGTGTGTGTGTGTGTGTGTGTGTGTGTGTATATATAGATAGATGGAGAGAAAGAGAGTGGGCGAGATAGTGCGCACCACTATCTATATATCTAACTATCATAAGCACTGACGCATTAATGGTTAAAGTGCAAACTGTAAAATTCAGTGGTTTGTGTTTGCACAGCCTGTGCTTGCACATCGTGAAGGGAGATAGACGTACTGCTGCTGTGCAGTTTGTTGAATGTTGTTGTTGAGTGCATCACTTTAGAATATGCCAGTGGATATGTGCTTATATATACATGCTTAAGTCTTTGCTTTTTTCATGTGTTTTTACTCATGGCATGGCTGTTTGTATTCATGCGTTAACTTTGTCTTTTTTTTCCACAATAGTGATTTCCTGTTCCCTCCCTTTAGCTCCCCTGGCTCTTTGCCAATAGGTTGTTGGTGCAAAACATTGTTGACACAGCCCCCCTCTTCTCTCTCACACTCACACACAGAGTTTGGGAGTATTTGGATAGTGAGCTCCTGTGATTGATGGTCAGGAGAAAACACAGCAAAGATAAACATTCACAACCGAGCATTTCTTTATATATAAACTTTATTGGGTTACTATGATAACATCGCAGTTAATAAACTGAAGGACCCATGATGTATCTTTTTTTTCTTCTTTTTTGTAATATGTAAACAGACCTAGATATGGGCAGGAGCTGGTAAACCATCTTGGCTATAAATGCTGCAGTATTGTATGGTTAAAAATATGAATGTCACAGATTGATGATTTATGAGCTACAATTGTCCACAGCAGCATCACCAAATGTAAATTTTTGTATCTGATGCGTATCTCCTGTGACCACAAGGGAAGTTTTCTGTTTTCAAAATGAGTCACTTAAAAAAAAAGGTTGGTTTTGTTAAATGTCCCACAGTACGCTGATCACAAGGTTAACACTGTCTCCTGTTTCTCAATCAATCATAATTTGGTGATTAATTTGAGGAAGTGCTTTCAAAATAAAGTTCATGGTAATGTGATAGAATAGCAGTTAACAGCTGTGACTGTTAACCGCTAAAGTAAGAATCACGCTAAAGTGGCTTAATTTTTTGCATAAAAGTGGTACATGTCAAAGGGTTCTTGCAGGAGATTTAAAAAAAAAAAAAACTTTTGTTATTATCACTTAAACATGCCACGTGTATTAATCTCATATCTCTAATCTTAATCTGTAATGGGATCTGAGACACCAGGTCATTGATGTGATTCTGTCTCTGCTTCATATCCACCAGGTGAAATGAGCAGTGAGCTGAATGTGCCTATGGGTTCTCCAGCAGAGCATGCCCCAGACAACAGTGGGATGGACTACAGGGACTGGGTGCGACGTAGTTACCTGGAGTTGGTCAGCTCCAACCACCACTCAGTGCAGGCACTGTCATGGAGGAAACTCTATCTGAGCCGTGCCAAGCTGAAGGCCTCCAGCAGGACCTCTGCACTGTTGTCTGGCTTTGCAATGGTTAGTCAGTTTAGTCTAATATGAAAAATCCCCACTAACCTGCAGGAAGGAAATGGTTTTAAATGTCATGTTTGTGCTGTCCATTTGCATTCTTAATGGGATGAGTGTTTTTTCTGACAATATAAATTAAATATATCGTTAAAGTTGATGAATTAAGTTTTTGACAGAGAAGCACATCTTGTGTTCTGTTGTGATCAAATTTGGACAGCAATTTTCCCACAAAGTAACAGCTATATAGTTAACTTAGTTGCTGTTTTGTTATCTCCATAGTAAATTAATTATTTTGCTCATCAAGAAGAAGCATTTGTAGCTGTTCTGGCATTGTGGCTTCTCACAAGACAAGCCACAGCCTCTGTTGCTATGGAGAGTAAGGCAGACAGAGCAAAACGCATTGCCTTCGAAACAGAATCTGACACTGACCCAGAAACTGAAATTTCATAAACCGCTTCATTTCCCGTGTGTGTGTGTGTGTGTGTGTGTGTGTGTGTGTGTGTGTGTGTGTGTGTGTGTGTGTGTGTGTGTGTGTGCCCTCTTGCCTTATGCTTGACACCCCTGATCATTGGAGTTAGAGATTTATTCATGCTGAAGCCAATTCAAGCCTCCATTTGAGGGACTGCAGTTTGTTGGCTTTATTTTTCAGCCCTGGAAGCATGGTGGTTGTTATCTGACTTGAGAGTTAACATTCCAGAAAGTTTCTGAAGGCTTAGACTTGCCAAAAAACTGCTCTTTCTTAGTGGCTTAAATACTTCTGACCACAGTTAATGGGACCTCATACAGAAGGGTTACAAAATGCCTGAAATTCTTTGCGTAGTATAGTTTGCATTGTGTTGGTGTGCTTTGATGTACTCATGGATGTAGAGTAATTTGGATATGTCTCTGTTTAAATGTCTCAGGTGGCCATGGTTGAGGTGCAGCTGGAAGTTCAATACAGTTACCCTCGTCTGCTTCTCATCGCCTTCAGTGTGTGCACCACCATCCTGGTGGCAGTGCACCTCTTTGCTCTGCTGATCAGCACCTGCATTCTTCCTAATGTGGAAGCTGTCAGCAACATCCACAACCTCAACTCCGTCAGCGAGTCGCCTCACGAACGCATGCACTACTACATCGAGCTGGCCTGGGGCTTCTCCACGGCCTTGGGGATCCTGTTGTTTTTAGCAGAAGTGGTGCTCCTCTGCTGGATCAAGTTCTTGCCTGTAGAATCTGGCAAGATCAAAAAGACAACTACCACATCAGCCACCCCTCTGGAAACCACCACCCCCTCGCAGCAGAACCCCGGCTGGCAGGCTGCCCTGGCCTCCACCATCATCATGGTCCCGGTGGGGGTGATTTTTGTGGTGTTCACCATTCACTTCTATCGCTCTCTGGTTCGCCACAAGACAGAGCGCCACCACCAGGAGATCGAAGAACTGCACAAGATTAAGGTGCAGCTGGACGGCCACGAGAGAGGACTCCAGAATGTCTGAAGACATGACGGCAGCTTTAATGACTTCACTTTGTCTCATATATTTATCAAACCCTCTCTCCCTTTTCTAAAATGTATTCTGGTCACTTTTAATACCTTGGACATGTCAGCAGTGAGCTTTAAAGTGTTGCAGTGCCGACAACCAATGTGTTCCAGACTGCTAATTTATTCTTATGGTGAAATTGTATTGTAGGATTTGTGCAGTGACTTTTTTCTGTGCTTTCAATCTTTAATCTGTGCTGATGAAAGGTCAAGTTAAAAGGTTTACAGAAAAAAAGGGCTATTAAGTTCTGTGTGCCATTCTTGCTATATCTCTGTTTTCATGTTAGGGTTGGGAGCTGGTGATGATTCCATTGTTGCAATGTTTGTTCAGTCTGAGAATGACTCATTTTTTTGGAATCTCTTATAAGTCCTCACTTAATGGCATAAAAGTAACCAATAATTCTCAAAAAGTTATTCTGATTAAGCTTTGTTTATCATCTTGCCTTAAGTAATTTGCCATAATGTAATGTGGCTTTTGTTTGATTATTGTCTTTTCTGAAAACTGGTCTCTATGCTCAGCTTTATTTAGGCATAACTGTGACAGAGAGAGCCATAGCGTGCAGTATTTGTCATGCAAAGTGTAACGATGCTTTTGAATGTTCAGCTTTTCCTACTGTTGTTACTGAAAACATGTTTCTTTATGCATCTGTACCATCCCTCCCACACAGATGCCATTTTGTGGGAGGGATCATTATATTAATCGTCGTATACGTAACATTATAATGAGCCGAGCTACTCACAAAGGTGAAAGAGATGCTCATAATCCTGTGACGCGGTTATCATATTGACCAAGGTTTTACTTCACTTGAAGATGACCCATTTAGGTGCCATCAGATTCAAGTTAAAGAATGTGTGTCTGAAAGGGGTCTGAGTCTCAATCCAGAGTGGAAAAATTCTACTTTAGAGAGAGGTTTGTAGAAGGTCTTTGATGTCAATTATGGAATTGGTCAGTTTACCTTTTTTTAATTAGTTGTACCAAGTTAAGGTTTAATATTTTTACAGCACTTATATCTGAACACTCATACAAGCCACATTCACCCACAAAGCACTTTCTGAATAACATGTATGCACTGGAAGCTATTTCTTACCCAGTGCTACTTCGATACAATCTGTAGGAGCTGGGAATCAAACCACCAACTTTCTAATCATTAGAGAACCTGCTCTACCTTCTGAGCCACAGCCATCCTGATATAGAAAGATGCAGCTTTTTGCACCTACATGCTTAACTCTATAATGACAGGCAAAGTGTAACTGCCAACAAAAACGCGAGTTGTGTGTAATTGTCAGATGGATTCTGTGAGAGACTCAAAGATTTGGCTTTGTATAGCAAAGTCAATACTTGATTTAGGTTTGATGAAATGCTACTGAACCCCAGACCTCATGCATTATGTGGTGGCCTTATTGCTCACCCTCAACCTGCCCCTCCAGTGGGGTATACAACAAACTGCAAGCAGCTGTGCGGTGTCTCTGTTCTGACTGGAGGGGAATTGTTAAACTAAGTATCTATTGTTGGTATGTCTTAAAAAAGCTGCATTCTAGTGTTTTTTCAGCCAAAATCTCACAAATGCCTCAAATCTTTTTTTTTTTCCCTTTTTTACTCAAATAGCTTTTACTGTCTGTTAAGACCTTGGATCCTTTGTAAAAGATGTCAAATGTGTCTATTCTGTATATACTGATGATGCACAAATTGCTTAAATATGAATGTGTTACTGTCCAAATATAGTTCTGCCTTACAGAATTGTTGCCTTTTATGAAACGCTGTTTTGCTAAAGGTCATAACACAAGCACATCTTTTGTTGGAAATGTAGTGAAGCTAAAATGTGAGTTGGGTGTCATCCAAATATTTGGAGGAAGAGTCACATATGAACAGTCACAAAGTGCATGTAACGAGCATGATTTATGGTGTTTACAGTTTTTTAAATGTTTTCAGTTAAGTGCGGGTCCATGAACGGAAATCCGCACGGCGAATGACGATGTTTGAAAAAAGAAAAATGTTCAAAACAACATTCCAAATATGACTGACCAAAGTGTTGCTCAGTTATGTGTCGTTTCTTTCTTTTCAGAACAGAAAAAAGTGCACTTGTAGTTTAATTGTACAGTAAGTAAGTGTCTGTTTCTTATCAAAGAACGTCCTCCATTGTGTTGTGTTTGTTGCTTCTTAAATGGATACTGCAGAGGACACGGAGACCTGTGCTGTAAGATAATTAACACCCTGAAGGCTACCAAAAATAAAAATAAAAAGTTCTGTGTCTTTTATGTCCACGTCCATTTTTAGGCACTGTGAAAAATAATGATTTATCTTCACTCTGTCTATTGAAATGAACTGACCTTGTGTGGCTTGACTAATGGCCACAGGAGGAAATGGTACTTGAGAAAAAGATAAATAAAATCAAACTTTTCTAGTTCTGATAATCTTCTCAGGATGAGACTGAGGCCTGAAATGTCCAAATGTTCTTCAAAAAAAAAAAGTCTTGTAATGTGAGGAGGTGTTATTGAGGTAACAGGTCACACTGTGTTGTTTTGTGACGCATTCCTGCAGTGCTACATGCTAATAGTAAAAACATCTTCAGACTACTGCTGTCAAAAACATGTCTTAGACAAACCTTTGTAAGGAACCTTATTTTAGTGATAAACGTCCTTCTGATGTTCTTTGAACATTTCTTGAGAAGGCCGTGAGAACGTCATCAACACTGTGGGAGGATTTCCTGCTAGCTGGGAACTTGCAGTTGCCAGTATTACAAAATAACTGATTGACTGTGACTGATTAGCAAGCCAAAGACATCCTGAACAGCACGAGACAGCAAAAAAGTAAAAGATCTCCAACATGCAATATCAATATGATAGTGCACTTTTTTAGCATTTTGCATGGCTTGAACGATCCACGGTATTTAAAGCCAGAGGTTTCTGTGTGTGGCACTGAGTTAAATCATCACTCTTAACAGTTTGATAAAAATGCTAAACAGTGATGATGAATATGGTGAGCAAACAGGAATTCTTGTACTCCTGAAATGTAAATTCTGCTTGAAATCATTTGTTTAGATGAGTGTCACCAAGTGAAGTTTAGCCCATGTCTAAGACTAGTGCAGTGCGCTATATGAAGCAGCGAGCATGCCTCTGCTCAGCAGTGGAGGACATTGTGCATATTTTGAAGCACTTAACCTTTGAAAGACTCAAACCTTGTAAGAGAAACAGAACTCTGTCCAGGATTCAGAGAACCATTAAGCCGGCTGCACAAAGACTACTGAAGGACGCTGGCTTTGACTTAAAAACAGACTTCAAAAAGAGAAACTTGAAACATTTTGGTGTCATTTTAGAATTCGGTCCAACATTTACAGCAAAGAGAGAATTTGAGATTCAGTAAAAAGAGACCTATGCTCATACATAGAGCTTTAAACATGGGTTGTCATCAAGGACTCTATATTTGCTTAGTTATAGAACACCCTTTCAGACAGGACCTTCAGGTAGAGCAATCATTCATAGTTTGCAGTACATATTACCTGTGGTGTAGCACAGAGTTCAATTTTTAGGTCATTTTTATTTTCTGTTTACATCTCTTTTTCCACTAGGAAAAATCACCGACTTCCATCAGGTGTTTTTCTTTACTGCTCCACAGACAACTGTGCAGCAATGCAGCAATGCACAGTTCAAACCACATCAAGTTCGCCGATGACACGACTGTGTCAGCATATGGAGGAGGTGCAGCAGATAACTGACTGGTGTAGAACCAAGAACCTGTCTCTGAATGTTGACAAAACAAAGGAGATGATTGAGAGCACAGAGAGATCACTGTCCACTTAACATCGGTGGATCCTCTGTGGAGGTCGTCAAGACCACCAAATTCCTTGGTGCCCACCTGGCCGAGAACCACTCCTGGTCCCGCAACACCAGCTCCATAACTAAGAAGGCCCAACAGCGTCTCTACTTCCTGCGGAAGCTGAGAAAAGCCCATCTCCCTCCATCCATGCTCACCACGTTCTAGAGAGGGACTATCGAGAGCGTCCTAAGCAGCTGCATCACTGTCTGGTATGGTAACCGCACCGTATCCTATTGCAATACCCTACAACGAGCATTTGAGAAGATCATTTGAGCCTCTCTTCCCTTCATCACAGACAATTTTAGCACCCACTCCATCTGCAAAGCAACAAGCATTGTGGAGGACCCCACACACCCCTCAAACACACTCTTCACCCCGCTGCCTTCTGGAAAGAGGTACCGGAGCCTCCGGGCCCTCGCTGCCAGACTGCGGAACAGTTTATTCCCCCAAGACATCACACTCCTGAACACACAGTGACAGGAATGACACCACACACTTCATACACATCACTGCCAAGCACTTATCTGCAGAATCTCTCTCTCTCACACAAACACACACCTTCAGACACCAAGTTCTTTTTTGCACGTTTCCATTGCTCTTCCATATACCAGGATTGCAGTGATTGGTTTCACTAAGGTATACTAAGAGCATCTCAAATAACCATTTTGAGTTTGCAGTTTAGACTTTACTGAAGATTTTACTCGCGTTTACACATAACTGTTTATAGCACTAATGTTAAATGCATATGTGCCAGTTCACAGCTTTAATTTGTCAGGTTGAGGTCATTTTAGCTTCTATGAGGTCAATACTTACTATTAAAAAAAAAAATCCCCATGTCTAATGTACACCCTTTAAATTCTTTACTATTCTTTTCACTCTTAGAGTTTGTATTCCTCTGGCATTAACCATCTGAACATCTTTTCTTCTCTGGTCTTGGTACTGCACTCTACTCCAATGCGGCACCAGCAATGTGGATAAAAGAAACTAAAACCCAGAGTGACTAAGCACACAAAGGTATGTTAACAATCCACATATTTGGCTAGTACACAAGAATGTTGTGTGACATTCCTTACTTTGTTGTCAATCTAGGGCTAAATATAGGCCTATAAACCCTATAGATGTATACATAATTCTGTGTATGTAAATATGTTACCTTTGAGACTTTGTGTATTCTGCCTTGACTTATATGTTGCAAATGTCTAGCTAACAAAAAATAATAATTTTTCTTTATGACTCCACTCTTTAACCATTTATACACAGGGAACACAGACTCACCTATAGTTTGTGATTTAGCATTGATAAACTAAAGGAGCACTGATGGTGGCTTTAAACAGTCACATGCGTCCATTAGTTGTGTCAGCTATAAAATAAAAAATAAAAAAAAAACACAAAAACAAAACACCCATATATTCATTCTGTGCCACTTGTCCAGGCCCGGGTTGCGGGGGCAGTAGACCCTCTCCTCAGCCACCTCCTCCCGCTCTTCCAGGGTGACCCCATGTGTTCCCAAGCCAGCCAAAAGATACAGTCTCTCCAGCACTGCCTCAATATGACATCCCCTAAATACCTCACCTAGGAACCCTTACAAAAGCACCTTTTAATGCACAGAAATGTCGTCTCTATGCCAAACTCCTCGTCAAGCTTCTCACCCTACCTAACACGGTAAGGTGAGACCATTTGTAAAATAACGAACGAATAAAAATCAAGCTCACTCTCAGTTCCAACAAAGTGAAATTTAATATCTACAGAAAATGTGGGAGAAACTAATTTCAGTCAGAGAAAAAAAAAAAGCACACTTTCTCAGTAACATGACTTGAATATTTTGGTATTGTACTGGAGATCATTTCTAAATGAACTTTTTTCTGATCCTCATTTTAAAATGCAAAATTAATCTGAATTCTAGACAATTAAATTAACTTGTATTCACCATGTCCTCTTCTTCCTTGGAAAAAAAAAATCACTTGATATTCTCTCCATGAACAGTATTTTTCAGTCTGCCCTTCTCTTTTGTGGCCTACAGGGGGCATACAGTGCACATTTTATGTTTATGAAAAGCTACAGCCTGGCAGTGAAATTCAAAATGTGCAAAACCACTCTCAGCATTTTTTTTTTTAATAGGAGGAATCCTCAAAATGCTCTTTACAGTAATATTTCCAAAAGGAGATACAAACCTCAAATGTTCACCTGCATTTTTTGAAGCTATGATTGTTTATGCTCCCTCGCCTTAACGTGTATACGCTAAAGTATATACAAGAACTTCAAGACTGTCAAATCAGTAATAAAAACATGTAGAAGGCTTCATCAAGAATACAGGTACAGACAGTATACCCTCTCTGACCTTTAAACAGTTAATCATAGGGGGCTGTTTTTGCTTCACAAAATGTCAAAATAAATACCAGCCTTTACAAAATTAAATAGATTCTGAAGGCAAAAGAATACGTTCACAATGTCTCACAGGTTTAAAATGGCATTTGAACTAATTTGTATGTAAAATCAGGGAAAGAAATGAAGCTTTCTGTACTCAACTTTTTAAAGATCTTTGTCATTTTGTTTCTAACCAGTTCATAGTCTATACAAGTAATATGCATTCAGCTGTAGAATAATATGTCGCACAACTTCAGGCTAATGATAAAGACCGTATCACTGAAATCTAAAAAACAAACAAACAAACAAACAAACAAAAACCTGACGGATTTTAAAAATTTAGAGATGTTACATCTTGCAGATAACATCCTAAGATTTCTAATGCCCTTTCAAATGAAACAAAAAAAGTTAATGCAATAACAAGCCCACGGATCAAACAGAAGAGGTGTAGCTTTCTGATTGATCTGTTGGAGCTGGGACCCACTGGGGAATGTTCAACAAACTGCAAGGAGTGTTTGTGTTAACTCATATATCGCAACTTTTTCAACACCTGACTCTGCTCGATTTTTTTTCTCTACTCCCAACAGTGTCCGTACAGATGCTGCTGTGATTTTCTTGTACAAATACTGAGATCACAACATGGTTATCTCATTATTTTCTCAAACACATTCTGTTTTTCATCGGTCCATCTATGCATCTATTTTCTGGAGCCCCAGCCTATCGCAGGGCAAACACAGAGAGACGGACAATTTTGTGTCACCAATCACCCTAACATGTACACCTTTAGACTGTGGGAGGAAGCCGGAAGCTTTGAACCCACCTGTAGGGTACTGGTGCTACTTTTTCATCCACCAAATTGACAATCACACTGACTATACACACACATAAAGTGTGTCCTACTTACAAGTTTGGCCATTCACAATAATGACATAATCAAGCAGTGATCTATACCTAATAGAAGACCAGCAAACTTGGCTAACGGTGGAGAAACTCTTTTGTCTACTGATGCTGTGAAATTAAATGGGACCTTCTGCAAAGCCTTGTTTTAAAAAGAAAATATACACCTTCCTAAAGAAAAACTGTGAGAAAACAGTCAAATAACGAATAAAGAAGCGTATATCAGACAATACTTCTCTGGTATATTGTTACTTTGAAAGTTGTTACAATGTTAAAACCTGCTATGATCTGCACTGAGCATTACAACAGGAAACCTATTCATTACTAGTGAAACGTTCTGACATGGTGTGTGTCTGTGTGACCCAATAAAGGTAAGTACCACAAAGAAAACAAAAGAACTCAGCATGCAGTTAAAGGACTAGTGTCACGCGTAAGGCAGCTGAACATCTCGGTCGACTTCCCCGTTCAAAAGCTCTGCAAAGACGCTGCTCGACAAAGACACTCATCAGAACAGAAGACAGAAATGTGTTAATGAGCATTTGGTGTTTTTGGCAGTTTCTTCTGTTTTTAAGAGCCACAGCTGTACAGCAGAAGAAGAAAGCGGTGTTTGAGGAGAGCGCATGAGCTTTAAGAAGAGGATAATTAAGCGAAGCATGTATACTGCTTCTACCAACGTTTCCCCTTGCAGTCAATGACACGCTGGGAGGATTTGGTAATTTAACACATGAGCAGCATTGATAACTTTGAGGAGATTTTGACAGGGCTGCTGGAGTGTCTCAATAGTTCCACTTGAAACATTTATCATCGAAATTTCTACTTTGAGGCTATTAGATATGCAACTTCATCATGAACTTCTTTAAAACTGAAGCTCTTCTTTCTTGCTTTCCTCTGTCTCTCATAATCATCGTCATCAATAATATCAATTATCATGCACAGTTTGTCCCGATAACCTACACATTCAAAGTTCATTACCCGCCCCGCCCCTCAAACTTCAATACAACATGCCACAGGGTACAAAACAAAAAGAACACAAAAGGAAAAACAACAGAAATCATCACCTTGACAGGTAACATAGCTTATAATCAGTCTAAGGCAAAAAGACAAACTAAAGAACAAGTAGTGGGTTAGTGAATTTAGGAGCTTTCTGAAAAACACTTTTCGTCCTCGTCCTCACCAGCCTTCGTCGTGGGAAACCCTCTGCACTCCTGCACGGCCTGATTTCCTGGCTGGCGTCTACATGGATTACTGACGTGGGGAACGTTACACCCTGAAGCTCTCTCCTTTGCCATCAATATGGCGCAGACGCAGATAAACATCAGTGCCAATGCCCTGCATAGACTGAATAGACAGAGAGCCACCGAGGTACTCCGCATAGGCCCTAGACGTGGGTAGGCCGAAGCCAAACCTGTACAACACACAGGCAACAGGTTTAAGGTGATTACGTGAAGTGACAGAATCACACCAGGCTGAAAGTGATTTACTGTAGGTGAAACATTAAGCTGCAGGTAAATACAGGCAGCCATCAGAGCTTTTACTGGCTCATAAAGAAGCCTACTGGAATCATCGAGACTGGATAAAATCAATACTCCTCTCTTATCTCTGACACAAACAGAAGTGCATCAGTAAAGAGCTTACCCATGCATAGGGTTAGACTGATTCCCACTGTTGGTGATGTTGTTGAAGAGGTTGCTCATGCGGGGATCCTGTGCACTCTCCTCAGCTGTGCTGAAGTGGTAGTCCATCACCTTGTCTATGATATTGTGAGGGATACCGCCGCCGCGATCCGAGATCCTGAATTAGAAAGAAATGGCAACAAAAACTTGTAACGATACCTTCTGTTACAGGAAGTCTCCCCTGCAGCAGTGAGGAGCGCACAGATTTGCAAAGGAAGTACAAATTATTGGTCCTACACGTTAAAAGAAATCAACTGGGCTGGTTTGGGTATTTGGTCATCATGCCTGGACAGGTAAACCTGCTCAGAGGCTCAGGACACACCTGGATTACAATTCTGGCACTCACCTGATGACAAAATCTATGTCGTTATTAGCGATGGTGACAACCACATCGGGGAGATTGTATGGGGTGTCCAGATGGCTCTCCATGGTGGCCCTGAAGATGCAAATTGAAGATCGATGTGACAACTGTACTCCCATTTAATAACAATCCACTATGCAAAAAAAAAAAAAAAAAATCTTTTTAATAATACTTTTGTTTTTCTACAGTCTGTCAATCAGAGGAGGCAAGAGCAAGTATTCAGCTCATTTAATTGATTAACTGATGCAATCCACTTTTAAATTTAAGTTGTGTGCTAAAAAGCAGATGTGTAGTCTAAACTACATACTTTTTCAGGCTTTTGAGCGAACAGTGAAGATTCTGTTGCAAACCTGTTCTTCTTGTGCATAATACTAAATTAAATTGTGCCAGAGCCACTGTTGTGACACATGAAAATCTCAATTTTTCCAGGTGGATGACACACAATAATCTTTCTAAATGCTGGTCCAATAGCCCAGTAAAATTTTTTTAAAAAGGACCTGTGTGCACACCGACTTGGACTTGGCTTCTATGTCCAAGCTGAAATCAACAACATTCTCTACACTCGTTAAAAGCTACATCAAAAGAGCCAGTCATTTTCCAAACTGCACCCCTTCTCTCCCGCTGTTGCCCTGGAAACCATTAGCAACAGCTACACTGGTGCCAACATTAAGCCAGCTCCAGGGCTCACTCACACCAGTCAAACAGCACCAACTAAAATCTTCACTGCTCTCCCTCAATGATCCTTTATTGCCATCACATTATTGCTCATCTATTATTTTACTGATTCACATAATTTTTCACTGTCAGACAAAAAAAAAAAAACCCAGCCAAATCATTCAATATAACTTTATTTAACACAAGCTGATTTGAGGTCAGTGGACATCTCCGTGGGTGAGTGAGTGGTTAGTTTACCTCATGGCGTTCTTGAGGAGCTCTGGCAGGATGTAATCCAAAGGCAGAGGGATGAACGGGAAGCGAGCTGCTACGTGTCCGTTGATCCTCACCCTGGGCGAGTTACCGTACTGGTGCTCGCAGAGACGTCTATCAAACACCAAGAACATTTCTCATAATATTGAAGACTACAAGGTCAAAAATATATACAAATTCTCTGCTTCCACACAACGACTGAAATGAAACTGTTTCATGACACTTTTTAAAAAAATATTAATGACTTTTTTACCTGATTAAAAAAAAGGAGGAGGAGCCACACGTAGTGTAGGGTGTTACCATGGACAAAGCACTAAGTAAACCTCACAGTTATGGGAAAGGTGTTAGTTTTGTCTGCGTGGGATTAGAAACCAAAGCAGTGGACCTACTAATGCTGCTGGATGACAATTACAGTTCATACAGTTCATTAAATGGAAGTCCAATTTCATTCATACAAATGTTAAACTGTAACGACAGAGAACACGCTGTATCTCTGATTGTTTCTTTGCAAACTTCCTTTGAACTTGGTTAAAACAAGTCTATAAAAGGTCACTTGATTAGATTACCAAAGACAAACAAGAATGAGAGCCCATTCACAGCTCCACATGCCATTTCTGAAAGGTTATCTGATGAACTCTGGTTTGCCTCGGTCAGCACAGAGACAAAGTCACTGAAACGTGAAATAAACTAAGCCGTACCAAACACTCACCTGGCAAAATCCACCCACTTCTCGATGATCTTTTTGGGTGAGAGACGTCTGCATATGATCCCAACAAAATCAGGCTGGAATGAACAAAAAAACAACAACAAAGAAAACAAACATTCTTTTTAGTCAAGTCTAAAAAGTATTTCACAAAATAACTAAATCCCCGCTGATTAATCAACACTGTTGGTTTAATTACACAATAGCGTTTACTTAAATAGCCAGCTGCCAAAACAAACATGACGTATTTTATGCTTCCTTGTAGCTGAAGGTAAACACCATGAAACCAGCAACTTCTATTTGACAGGATCCTGTTGTCCCAACCAGAGATGGGCAGTAACGCGTTACTGTAATCTGATTACTTTTTTTCCAGGTAACGAGTAAAGTAAGGGATTACTATTGCAAAAACGGTAATTAGATTACCGTTACTTTCCCGTAGGAACGCTGCGTTACTAAAACCGTGATTTTTTTTGCGAGAATGTCTCATGACAGTGACGTAAGCAAGTCCGTGACAACAGCTGTGTGCAGATCAACAATGGATCATATATTGAGTGCCGGAGAGAGTATGAGCGTGCAGCGTTTAAAGCGTGGAAGTACTGACCTTGCTTTGAGTTTGATTCCATAAAAAGTGACAAAAACATTAGCGTCCGTTGTGCGTGGGAAGAAAACTTCTTTTTACAGCGAAAAAAAAACCCCTAAACTTCCAAGCAAGCACCGAGTGCGCAACAACGTAATGGGAAACTCACAGAGAAACTCGCGGATTCTTCAACTGACCGCGGCACACCTGCACCAGGGTAAACCTCCGCCTACCCTACTCCTGCTTTACAGGTGAAAATAGAGCAAAAGGACCGCTAGTCTTTGATGTTATTTATTTTCTGCTGTGTTTTACTTGCATCTATTTGAAAGACTGAGTGTAAACACACAAAAAAAAAAAATTTTATGTGCTGGAATGTGCAGAAAATAGGTTTAAATGTTAAACAAATTTCTTCCAGTCAGAGAATGTTGCATATAATTACATTTTTGCTTGATGCATAAAGTTAAAAGATTAAAACTGATTAAACAAGTTTTAAAAAAGAGACTTTTCCATTTGATTACATTTTGTATGATGGATTATGCAGATAAAAGTAGAATTGGGCTGAAAGATCTATCGCTTTATCACCTATTCAGGTTGTAAATTGTGTTTTTAAAAAGTAACTAAGTAACTAAGTAATTATTTACTTTTGAAAATAAGTAATCAGTAAAGTAACGGGATTACTTTTTTGGGAAAGTAATCGGTAATTAGTTACTGATTACTTTTTCTAGTAACTTGACCAACACTGGTCCCAACCCAACATTAATCCCATGTTTGCAGAAAAGCTGGACAACTATCACCTTTCCCCTTAACAGTTACCGCATGATTTGCTCTGGGTAACCGTCACCGTTCAGAGGTTTTCAAATCCTTTGAATAACAGTTGCACGTACATTATCTTCATGAAGGGCGAGATGGTGCGTGGCCAGCATTCGTATTCCCAAACGAGAGCACAGCGTTGTATCCAGGAAGTTGCGGATGACCATCTCATCCTGTGACAGCAAATAAAAAAAGCAACTGAAACTTCACAGTTGAAACTAACTTATCAACTCTAACAGCTTTTGGTGAATCACAGCAAATGTTTTATTTTAGCTCTACCTCCCATAAAGGTTCTGACATAAAGATGTGATTTAATGACCATTAGAAAAGTTTCCAGGTTTTTCCTGTGTAGCTGCAAATGCAAAGACCGCCCTCACTAACTTCTAATGCAGCCCCAGTAATTTAGTTCTGTAAGCAGGCCTGAAATATGACATAAAGAGCCTCAAGAGTGACTCCCTGAAAGCTTTAAGGAGTAAAGAGTTAAAGGCAGATCAGCAGCTTTCTTAAGAAAACACATCATTGTTAGCTGAGAAAGCCTTAAATAGTCTTTCCAAATAATAAAATAGTGTTTAATTAAACTGAATAACAAACAAACTGACATTAATAACCTAACCTGTGCAGACCGAGAGTAAGTTGTTTTAGTAAGGAGTCATTTCCAGCAAATGGTGAATCAGGTCAGTCTTAGTATCTCTGTACCTGGATGTGTCTGCGACACTCCCTGAAGCCCTGTGCCAGCATTGTGACCACATCCTTGTGGTCGTCCAGCAGCTGCCGCACTAGTTTGCAGAAACGAGCCTCCACGTCCTGATCCTTGATCTGCAAACAGAGATGCTTCACACTAAACCCGAGAAACCCGACGTTTAAAGAAACAGCCTGCTCTAAGAAGAGCCTTTTAATTATTTTGGATTTTATATTTATTCTGGCTTGAATGACTCAACGCTTCATGTTTACCTGCTGCACTGATAGAGTCAGCTTCAGTGCAGCAACGGCCTCATACTCAACACTTCTACTGCACAGAGATTTTTTTTTTTCTTCTTTCACAGAAACGCTGCTTCCATTTATGAAATTGTCCGTTTCTTTCACGACTAGAGCTTCACATTAACGGTTGTTTAAATCCATAAATGGTGTATTGAGAAATAAATAAAGAATGCACAGGACCAGTGACTGAGAATCAGTCGAGCAATTCTGTGCAAACCGCTGTCATTTTAAAGCCACCAATGAGAGAATTCAAATGTAAAAGCAAAGCAGGTTTCAGGCATACAGATAAAAGCCGGGTGAGCGTGACCTGCCTCTGTAGCACAGAGATGTTTTTAGACACTATGATTTCCCCTGAGAGCTATTGTAGTATAGGTGACTCCAACCCAGAGTCACATTATCTGATCCTTTGTCTCTGTAGTTTCCTCTTAAATCTAGGGACCTTTTATTTTTAGCTAACCTTGCATCTGCCTCATCTCTTTAGAAATGTGTTTATACAAGAGAACAAGAGGAGTCTGAAAGTCTCAGCACAGTACAGTGTTTCCACGCTCCATAAAGAAGGCACACACCTTTATAGGCACTGAAATAGGTGTTGTTTTTCTTAACCTGACAATGTTAGGGTTACTTATCAGATTTAAGTGTTTACATTAACACAGAGGAAAACACGTTCAGCCAGTTTGAAATCTCCAATCATACATGTGCGAACACACTGAGGAACTGGGTGTACTCGTCTGCTTTGTCCAGACCTAAAAAGAACAGAACACAATGATCACTTTGCTACTGCATGCAGCAGTCAGTGAGACAGTTTGGCACTGATAACCCAGGAAATGCATTACATCTAGCAAGCAAGGATGACTGTGATGGAACACGTGTTATAGCCCTGACAGTACACAAATAAATACAAACAATAATCAGTGTCGTAGAAAAGCTACAAATCCTAAACTCGATAGCAGAGAAGAGTTATCCACTAACCTTCCCTCTACGACCTTTCAATGCCAAACAGAATGATTGGCGAGAAACAGATTTTTATTGACTCGAACAATGCATACGGCTAATGTTTCATTAGTTTTAATAACAGAGTCACGGCTTGTTTACTACTCAAATGAGCCAATCCTAAAGCGGCTGCGGGCAGATTCATCACACGTCTCGACAGGAAAAAGGTTCACACTTCCTGTTTTTGCTCATGAGCAAACCCACTCCCTGAGAAATAAAACTTGAACTTGTGACCCGTGTTTGTGCGCGTGTGTGTTTACTGTTCGTGTTTGAGTGGGTCGGGCACTCACCTCTGGAAAGTCACTGAGCATGTGATAGGCTCTGATATACAGTTCATGCTGTGAGAAAAGAAGAGAGATGCGGGCTATGGTTAGACCGATTTCTCTGTGATCGTTCACTCAGCCAGAAAACATCACACCACAAGCACTGTCCCCCCTGAATGGGCCTCACTGTGTTACTGACAAGTCCATGTGAGGCTTACACGTGGCAACTTTCTCCAAGCATCAGTGGGATGAGTTTTCTGTTACTTGCAGAGTTGAGCAATTTCTCTGAATCAGAATTCTGCATAAATGACTAGACTGGCTTATTAAAATCCATCTGATCATCTTGATGTGCAAAAGTTGGAGAGTTAAAATCAGTTCCAGCAATTATTTCACTTCTGATCAAAGAGCTAAACAGTGAAGGTACAGTCACTCCGACGTCACAAGTAGTGGCACAGAAAAGGAGCTTTTGCTTTATGTAATCAACACAGAGCGGTTCCGTGATACCAGAAAAGGAAGGAATCTGGGTGAAAGTTCACCAGCAACGAGACATGCAGAGGCAGCGAAATACTCAAAGTGCTTGCAGGGGAATTAAAGGCTCAGCGGGAACAATGACAACAACAATTCTTTTGGTGTCAAAGAGTCTGTTATATCCAGACACATGCGTATTTTTCTCGTTAAGTTTTTGAGATCTATGTATAAAGGAGCTTTAAACCTGACCTCTGTCTGAAATTGCATCTGAAAAACTAAACAGCCCTGCAAGATCAGAATCCTGCTGATGTGGACAGTTTCTGCTGGAAGAAACATTTCCCATGAAAAATTAGGAAAGTAGAGAATGACAGCATAGTCATTAAGTATGAGTTATTGATATGACAGGCCTAAGTCATGTGTGAAATAACAGTATCAAAATTATTTACTGGACAGGGTGTGGCACTGATGTCGTTACAGTTAATCAAAAACAACCTTGCCTGCAAAAAGTTTGGAAGACTGTCAGAAACTTAAATAAAAGAGTGTTTTCGATGTCATTTAAACCCTATTTATGATTTAAAAATAGTACAATGGCAAATATTACCAAATCTGAGAAATTGCATTGTTTCAAAATATTTTGCATTTGGTGCCAGAAAATCATTCCAAAGTAGTTGCGACAGCTGGCAGGAAAGTGGAAAGTGGCAGGAAAACAAACCACAATTAAGTGCCAAAAGGCTCCTCGAATGGCCACATGAGGTTGTTTCTGAAAGTGGATCAATCTCCATAGACTCCTGTGTTAAAATGACCAACTAAACAGCCCCGGAAAGCATCCAGAAAATAAAAGGTTTTGTGGGACTTTTTTCTGCTTCCTACATTTGGATACTGTTGAAGCTAACCGTTCAGGGCACGGCAGCTTAGACTGACAGGTGTGCTGACACCTTACTGCCTGCGCTCACCTCTGCTAACTCAAATAAGTGAACTGAACCTCTCCACTGTGTTTGCAGTGTTGGTGCCTTCTGAAGTTTTTTTTTTAAATGACAAATAATAAGACAAGCTTTCTGATAATGACCATCCAGGCAGCCTGTGCTTCAGTTTTGTGTATTTGTCTGTTACTAAGCACCACTTATGTGTTTATAAGCATGTTTATGATGCATATTGCAAACCAAGCTTCCTAAAAAAAAACCAAAAAAATAAAAAAATAAAAAAATCAGATGATAACTTAAAACCCCATCACTTTGTCCAAATATGGGAACTTCCACCTAAAAATGTCAAATGTGCAATTTGTTGCGGTAATATGCAATGCTCTTCCTGAAAAACAACATCTGGGTGGCAGAAAACAAAACCTGCATTTATTGTTCAGCATTAATAGTACCCAGGACAGTTTTACTACAAACCTGAATACAAACATGTGCTTTCAAATCACAAGCTGCAGCTCCTGCGTCAGCCATTGATGCTCTTTATTTTAATAAAAAAAACAGAACGGTACAACATTCCTGGTATGACCCATCTTTACAGGATATGGATATCCCATAAAGAGTCTACAGGTTGTTTGATGTCACCATTATGTGTATAAATAAAACCCCTCCTTTCAGTTCTTGCAGTCGTATTTCAGCTTGGTATTGAACCATAAACCTGCTGTACCTCTTAATGCACAGCCATACCTCCCTGTCCACTCTGACGGGAGTGGACAGGGAGCATCTTAAGAGCGCTTTCTGTCAAGACTTTCCTGCGCAGTATTGTTACTTTCTATTTATATAATCAGTTACAGGGCCCACTTCCTGTATAGCTCAGCAATCTGTAAACTGTATTTGGGTGTGTCTGGAGAGCTGTGCGCTTACCACTTGCAGAATCGTGGGGTTGCAGCCAATAATGAAGGGCAAACTACGGAAACCCTTGATGCGATGAGCGATTCGTACAGGCAGCTCCTTGTGGAGGTACTTGGCACTGCTCTGTGAGCGTAGAAACACACAGAAATAACAATGAAGAGTCTCAGAAGTCTCATTATTGTTACACTTTACAGAAATCCCAGCACGGCTGAAATATTTACCAAGATGTGGTGTCCATCGGCAGACTTCCCAGAATACAACAGGGTTGCTAAAGTCAGTCGAACAGAGGCCTAGGGAGAAAGCGGCACATAAAATTACACACACAATCATAACAGCAGGGTTGAGATTGTGTTTTAGTTTCGAGTGTGCAGCCGTAAAAACACACATGATTGTTATCCACATAAATGACTGGCTGTTTAGCCTGTGACAGATAAAGTCCTTCAGGCAGTTCATGCAGATTTTTAGCTGGGACACTGAAGGACACTCCATACTTGTCTTAGCTGTACACTCTGGTCCAGGTGACGAGCAGAGCTGAGTGTTCGCAAAACATAACGAAACATTTTCACTGCGGTACATTTTCCTATCGTTGCCTAACATTATACCGGTATTACCGTGAACGGTATAATATGGCCCAGCCCTAATAGTTACAGAGGCTAAGATGGAGGTAAGTCACTGTGGTAAAGCAAGTCTAACATTTAATACTGTGCTCAGTCATCACTGACTAATGTATGTAAACTTGCCACATTATAAAACCTTACAACAGGCATGTGCACTATAACAGTGCACATGCATGCATGCAATGTTACGGTGTGCTCCAGTACTTTATAGCACTCCAACTCTGCTCACCAGCTGGAGCAAGTCGTGGCATCAGCTCCAAAATGGATCCGAGGGTGCCACAGCGAGATGCCAGTAGCACAATCTGAGCTAGCTAGAAAGACAAGAACACTAAAGAAATGGTTCATGGTTTGGATTTCCTGTTGAATCACTGCAGTAGCCTGATTAAATCAAACATACTACAGTGTGATAAAAAACATAAAAACTGTAGTAACTGTTAGAATAATGCATCTTTAAATTGCAGGTCCAGTCAATAACATTCATTCAACACCCCACAGTAAGATGCAATTTGCAGGTGCACAAGTAAAAAGCATTGTGTAAATACAAGCAGAATGCACAGCTGTATGCCTGGTGATGGTCTACAGATCTGGGAATAGATCTCAAGTTAGAACCCAGGATAAATGGAGCCTAACAGGCACACCTAAGTCAAACAGGCATCAGTTTTATAAGCTCTAGCTGTGTTTACCCCAAAAGGACACTGACACTCCAGTGCTAAACCGACATGCACAAGTGGAGAATGTACAAGTGGAAAAACACTACTCATTGCTCCAGGATCTAAATGCTAAGTAATGTCAGTGCAGTCCTAATGTTTGCAGTAGGTCCAGTGGGTCCTACACCCGCAGGTAGGACCCACTGGAAACAACAATCTGCTGGATTGGTCGTATTACATTATGTATACTGATGCAAACATTAAGCCATCGCATCGATATCACTGTACAAAACAATAACATTTGTCTTCCGTAAAGTGAAAATGTTGTCGTTGGGTAGTGTTTTGTTTCAATATTTCAATTCCTTCCTCTTTTTTGCTGTAAGAGTACTTCTTATATTCACTCCAGTAAGTGAGTAAGTAAGTAAGTGGAAAAAAACTGAAGAATGTGACCAAAAAAACAAAACAAAACTGAGCCAGGAGGAAGAAAAGCATCTATGCTATTTTTATTGGTAACAATAACAATAATAATAATACTAGTTAACATGGCGACATTCATTCAGGAGTTGTGTTTTCTTTCTTTTATTTCACTTTAAGGCAAAGTATTTTAGAGATTGGCAGAACAGATTGTTAGACTTGCTTCTCATTAACTGGGGCAACGTCAGCTCTGCTCCATCGCTGAAACTTTACACCATCAAGTCTCCTGTTACTGGACAATCGTCTTATGTCTATAGTGTAGCTAATATTACAATTTTGCGTTGGCACCTCGTCTGGTCCGGTAAACATCAGCGACAGCAAAGAACCGACGTTATAATTTGTCTAGAAGCTCAGCAGGCTGCAGATAAATTTACCCGGGCGTTGCGTTCAGGTCTTCGGTACCGGGCATGTCAGCCGCTTTACATTATTACTGAATTATTATTATTATTAAATAGACCATTATAATTCAATACACTATATGACTTAAAACAACAACAACAACAAAATAACAGAACAAAGCACGCTCTTTTCTTTTGCTAGAGGAATCTCCGAAATATTAAAGGAAAATTACAAATTACAACTACAGACACTGCAATGTAGGTGACAGCTTTATTCCTCTTATAGAAGGAATTCGTTTTTAAGCTTCTAACTGACAAAACATTAGTTCTGAAGGCTAAAGCACTGCTCTTTTAAGTAGCAGCATGTCACTGTTTTTCCACCTGCCCCTGAACGTAGCACAACCCAGCCGCAGCTAGCTACAGCTAGCTTAGTTACCCAAGAGTTCTGAGACCTTTTCAGGAGAAAAGACCGGGAACCCGTCACATTTATTACCTTTTCTGCAGAAGAATCTATTGCAGACTGGTTATAAAACGACGTGACAGTCTTCGACCGCTCTCGTGCCATCTCTGAATATCCCTGCATCGAGGACGTTGACCGAAATCTCTGGCTCCCCGTGCCTGCCAGCGGCGGTACTGTTTTGGTGGCGGGGGCCAGCAAGAAGGTGCCGAGCCTCGGCCTAGCTCTGCTGGCTGCGCCGCTCAGCATCTCAGCCGCTACACCCGCCAGGGCCAGACGCATCTGGAGATGAGCTGTGTGTGCGAACAGGGCTGCCCTGCTCTCATACAAACACGGAATATCACAGTCGCTACGAGGCCATTAGGGTCGCGTCGTACTAGAGCACAAAGGCATGTATCTCTGAATACAGTTGCGTTGAGGGTGCAGAGAGGGCTTTGTGCGCATTGGCCAGTGGGGAAGAGAGCTGGGGGAACGACATGACAGCTCAGCCAATCAGTCCACCAGAGGCGGAGCGAAGCAACATCAACAACACCCCGGAGCCCAGAGTCTGCAAAGCCCCCCCGCAATGTACTGTTCTGTACTGTACTGTACTGGAGGCAAAGCAGGAACAGCCGATTGTCAAATTGCACCAGTCATAAGTTTTATTGGCCGACTTGAGGCTGAAGGGGACATTTTAACATGTATGTTACTTGTGAATCGTTTATGCAGGTAGAAACGAGCTCAGGACCATTAATTAGAATGCCTTTTGCTACTTAGGATTTTTCCTGTTTGTTGAAAAAAACAAAACGTGGTTCAGGGACCTGCAGTTAGTGTTTGCTGTGTGCCTGTTAAGAAGTGAAAAATGCAAATCCCACAAGTTTCACTTCCTGTTAAATAAATGTAAATAATGATAGAGAATGTCCCAATAATCCGCCCCAAGAACCACGGATTGAACCGCCCAGCCTCTTGCCTTTTACTGCCACCCAACACACTTTGAACCCAATCCTCATTGGGGATCCTGTATGTGGTGAGCCCACAGAAGACCCTGTCCCTTAAGCTCCTTCCCCAGACACGGCCCAAGAGTGCAACTCCAGTAACCCTAACCCCCTAACCCTAATCCAGAGTAAACAGGTCTCTTCATTTTTTTTTTTTTAATCTTTCATGGTACCCTCATCCAGGATTTGCCTTGGGAGACCCTACCAAAGGCAAAAGCCCCCTGACAACCCTGGGATCTTAGGATACATAGATCCCAGAAAATAGCTTCCTCCAAACGGTAGATCGCTTCTTGCTTAGAGATAGGGTGAGGAGTTAATAAGTAATTTGGGAGGGAGTCCCAAATGAGTTTTCCAGGCATGTCCTAACAGAAGGAGGGCCGAAAATAGGTGTCACAGGATAGGTGTTAGAAAATGAAATGATGAATAATAAAGAATGATGTGTCATCATTGTGTAGAATTTTTTCAAACTACTGGTGAGAGGGCACTTCTTAATACCTGCTATATTTCAATGTTAGGAAGATGACTAGGGCAGAAACACTGAAGGTGAAGAGAAAGACTCCCTCGGTCTTGTTTTGCACTCATATAGCCTTACATGAAGTGTGGTTGAATTAATACAAAAGTGCATTCTTTCTAAACTGTTAACAAAGGGACTCTGCTGACCTATATGAAGACAAAACAGGACAAAAGTCTGAGGTAAAAGTTTGGACATCCTGCATGGTTGGATAACCTGCTCAGTAAAACTTGTTTGGGGAAGTTTTTTTTTGTAGCAGCAAGTCTTTTGATTCTTGTGTAGAGAATTTACAGCCATCCCTGCCAAAGTCTTGGGTTCCCAGGAGTCTCAGAACACCTTTAGGAGATTTCCTATTATTGTTTAGGTTTGTGGACCGGGAGAGTCACGTCAAAACCTTCATCTTACACTTTCTGAGCTGGTCCATTGTAGATTTTTCATAGTTTTGGAACATTTTCTTCTTTTCATCTTTGTCTTTTACAGATACTTCAATGTTTACTCCTGGAAATCATTTGTGTAATTGAATCCATTCTTCCTTGTAGCACCAAAGCACTCCCAGTAAAATAAGCTGAGTGGTTCTTTTCATCTAATTTTTGAACCCCTTTTCCAAACATATGATTCTGTAATGAAATCTTCTGTTTTTATTGTTTGTTTTTTAAGCATATACATTACTGGGCACAGTGGGTAGCAAGCACCCTTCAAGTAAATTCCTTCCAAAGAATGTAGTCTGTGTTTTCAGAGCTAAGGAAAAAACAACCATGCCAGCCACCAAGTGGTTAAAATGAGAATAGTCAATACCAGGTACAACAGAACAACCTGTTTACATCTTTGCTGTACTTCTTAAGAATTCAGACATTTGATTCAACAACAGAATACACTTAAAAGCCAAAAGCAGTTAGAAGCAAGCTAAAAACTTCTTTAATTAAATAAAATAAAAAAAACAGTCCACTTTCAGCTTTAAAGCATAAAAACACAATAAGCACACTGACATGAGAAGTATTCAGAAAAGTAAATGTTGCAGCAGTTTCACTCTTCAGTGTTATCTGATCATTAAAAAAGTAGCACAGGAAAATAAAAGCCTCAATCATTCACATTCAAAAACTATACTTATCAACAAAGCATATATTTCAAAAAAGAAACAAGCCGCAGACTCTTGACGGCTTAAATCTGAATGAACCAATTTAATGTGAAACATGAAGTTTGTTACAGTGAAAATGTGGATAAACTGTAGCCCTTAAAACATCCTGCAGACACTGAGCAGTCTTATTATGTGGAGTCACAATCTGCTGTGTGCTAGGACTGCTTTTTCTGCAAAAACCAGGTCCTTACTGGTGGAAACAAGGGTGATGGAGGGGTGAGACCTTACCACAACACATCATTAAAGTTAGGAATAATTCTTTGACACGAACTCGTGACCGTTCTGACATTACACACAGATCTGCTAAAAACAAAGCTTTAACTAATTCAAGTTAAACTTAAACCAGCTAAATGGCTTTGTTAATGTTGGGCTCGCTTGTACTTTTACACTGAAGTTTGCACATCCAAACTGTGAAACTGTGCCAGGGAGTAGAAACAAGAAAACAAATTCAGTCATCAGCTGAATTTTGAAGTCCACGGTTCATTATTGTAACCATGTAGATCTAAATGGAGCCGTTTCTGTCCATTCTGGACAAATCAACGGATAATTCTGTCACAGTCAAAGTCACCTAGCTATGATCACCTATAACTCATAACAGCAGCAACTTTAAGTAAAAACAAAAACATCTGAAAATTACAGTTTTATGTTTAAACTCCACATAATACATTATTGTGTAAAAAAAGTAACAGAGTTCTTTTGTTCTTCAGTCTGTGATGCTTTTTGATGCTGATGTAGCATCAACACTCACAAATTATGAATGTGCACATTTTCAGTAATGGGGCACACTCAGATTCTTTATGGCTGTGCAGTCCATGGTTGCTCAGGGCGACTCCTCTCTCTTCCACACTATCACCATATTCTTGTCACTAAGGGCAACTAGATAGCATAGCTCAGGGTCCATGGCTACGCTGTTGATGGAGGGGCCCTCTACCTTGCCGTGGCCGTTCTTAACTGGGGTCGGCCACTCCAACACCTGCCAAAAACAAACAACATGTTAGTGCTGAGTGGAGAGAAAAGCGAAATGCATCTGAAGTTTAGGCTCATTACACGCAGCCGACGTGAAGCTTTGGAAGTCTCAAATCACTAGTCTTTACATTTCATGTGCAGGCTGAAAGAGGCAAGCAAACTGAGCTCTCTTTAAAGAGTGAAGATGGATAGTGACATTTATTTCATTGAAATGTAGGTTTAAAATGTCTCCATCCTTTACGTTATCTTAATGGCCTGCACAGGCACTCCTGTGCACGATAATCCTGTGTTTATATGTGAGAGCTGGTCATTGTGTAATCTTCCAAAATGAAACAAAAATCAACTACACAGCTCAGATCTCTCATATTTATGGTGGTTGCACACATCTGTTATCAGAGATGCAGACAAAATCTGAGGAAATTATGCTGAAGCTAAAATAATACTTGAATGGCCCGTGTTTATCTATTGTAAGCTTCCTGTGTGCATTCCTGTGCACGTGTATTTCTCTAGGAACAACACAATTAACTGCTTCTGCAAATTTAAATGTCTTGTGAGTGCAAGACAAAGAAACTCTCTCTTTACGGGACTTCAGTGGATTCACACATGAAGGACAATGTTTCAGCCCAGTGCTGAGATCTGGGTATGTTGTGACATCACCAGAAATCCAGCTGGAAAACAAACAAGTGGGCGGATGAAGCTCCATGTGTTTTCACTTTTCAGAGCTAAGATTGTGAAACAACTTTAATAAGACATAAAAGTAAAAGAGAGCAAAAACAAGGACAACGAAGGAAAGTATAACTGATGATTAGGATAACGTTCACTAATCTGAGAGTTTGTTTTGTCTGACTGCAACTACCTCCCAGACTAATTTAATAGACTCATTTTTAGGAAAAAAAAGAACAAAAAAACAATCGATATTTCTCTAAACAAGAATCGTAAGAGAAAGCTACTGTCTGAGAATACAGATACCTCAGTGGGCAGTATGGGTTTCCCAGTGTGGAAGCTGTTTTTCTGGAGGTTGGGGATGTGGTATGTCCATATCTTGCCTTTGTCATCACCGCACACCATGTAGGCTTGACCTAATGATAGGAATGAGAACACAGAAAAGTACACGTGGTGAGTATCTGTGATGTTCTTGGTCTAAGCACTAAAGTAGTTTTTTCACAAGTTACTACCAGGAACCTTTAAATGAACTTTAAAGTCCTTCAGGTCATTAGCTGTCTGCATTTCAAGATCTTCTAAATTAGTTCACAGCATAGAGTGATTGAGTTACATCAGCTGTCCTCTCTGTTGTTTCAGAGCTGCAGGTCTGAGTGTGTGGCTTCGGTGAAGGTGTGCACTCATCTATTTGTGCTTTAGAATGTTTTATTTATCTGATTCACCACAATCTGGAGGGTTAAAATCATAACCCTGGAACGTAATTTAGATTGTAAAGTGAAAACATCCAGTTCTACAGTAAAGCCGACAGTCAGGGAAACTATGGAGTGGCTTCAGACCCAGTCTGGACTGTCCTTCTGTGTCCCAGCTCCCAAAATATCTGTGGTGACCGGAAGATGGCAGTTAATGAGCTTACTGCCTTTGTCTACACTGATGATGACCTGAAATGACGACTGAATGTTAAATGCATCAGAACTGACGAGATGAGGTGAACTTACCAGGACAGGTGTTGAGAGCCAGGTAGGGAATCTGAGTGTTGGTCCACTGCAGCTCAGCCAGAACCACAGCACGCACTGCTTTGCTCTTCTTGTCAGGCCGCTGAACCTTGGTCCTGCTCCAGCTCCACAGGTAGATGCAACCATACAGGTAGTTCTTGGATGCTATCATAATTGACAGAGCGCGCAAAAGATTAGGAAAAAAAATGAGAAAAGGGAAGTCAGG